AATCCAGAGCTTCTTCATCAAATCCATCAACCACATCCTCTCTAACATCAAGAAGTATCACTCCACCATCTTCACCTACTCCTACCATGGCAGACAACCATGGAGGACATCAAAATCCTCCACATCCACCACCTGAACAAACCTTTAGACAATGGGCTACTCAAGATGTCACCCAACAACCTTTGTGCATAAATTACCCTGCAGCAATCAACTTTGAACTCAAGTCTGGACTCATCCATTTGTTACCCTCATTCCGTGGTCTCGAGAATGAAGACCCACATAAATTCCTTAAGGAATTTCATGTCGTTTGTGTGGGTATGAAGCCACATGAAGTCACAGAAGATCAAATCAAGTTAAGGGCATTCCCCTTTGCTTTACAAGATTCAGCCAAGGAGTGGTTGTATGACTTACCACCGAGGTCAGTCACAACATGGAATGAACTTGCAAGGATGTTTCTTGATAAATATTTTCCCGAAATGAGAGCTTCAGCTTTACGTAGAGAGATAATTGGCATCAAGCAACAAAAGAGAGAAGCCTTGCATACTTATTGGGAACGGTTCAAGAAATTGTGCTCAAGATGTCCACAACATGGGATTACAGAATATCAGTTGCTGCAGTATTTTTGTGAAGGAATGTCATCTTGGGATAGGAGATTACTCAATGCATCAAGTGGTGGATCTATAGCTGATAAGACTCCAACAGAAATCAGAGTTCTTATAAAAAACATGGCAGAAGAGTCCAAGCATACAGTCCAAGAAGAAGAGTGGTATAGTGATGCACCAAGGGGGGTGAAAGAAATTTCTACTCCAAAAATTGAAAGTCAACTTTCTGAGTTGACTAAGGTAGTAATGATGCTTGCAAAAGACAAGGGCGTGCAACCACCAATAGTTAGACCTTGTGGCATTTGTACACAAGTTGGACATCCCACTGATATGTGCCCCATGTTACAAGAAGATGTAGAGCCAGTTCAAGCTATGGGATTTTCAAGTCAACAACAAGGAAACTTCCAGCCAAGAAGCAATCCAAATTGGCACCAACCTAATACCAATTTTCAGCCTAGACCACCACCTTATCAACCAAGACCCCCATTTCAAAATCAAATGCACCACCAACAAAATTATCAACCACATTTCCAGCCAACTCAACCTCCTCATCAATCTCAATATCAACCTCAAAACATGCATCAAGGAAGTAGTTCAAGCGGATCGGGAATGTCTTTGGAAGACATTGTTAAGAGTTTAGCCACAAGTACTCAAACCTTTCAAAATGAGACCAAAGCGAGCATCGAGACTTTGGAGCAACAAATGACTCAACTCGCCACATCTGTGAGTAAATTGGAGTCACAAGGCAAACTACCCGCGCAAACTGAGAAGAATCCAAAACATAGTGCATGTGCCATCACTTTGAGGAATGGTAAAGAATATGAAGGTCCTAAAATGATTGAAGAAGAAGAAGAGATGGAGCTAGAGAAAGAAGAAGATAAGTCAAAAAATTTCTTCCAAGCAAGTTCCTATTGAAGCAAAAGTCACTCCTCCTCCATTTCCCTCAAGATTAAGCAAGTCAAAGCGTGAAAGACAAGACAATGAAATCATGGAGATGTTCAGGAAGGTAGAGGTAAATATTCCTCTTATTGATGCCATCAAACAAGTCCCTAGGTATGCAAAATTCCTTAAGGAATTATGTACATCCAAGAAAAAGTTGAAAGGGAATGAAACTGTTAAAGTAGGGGAAAATGTGTCTGCAATGTTACAAAAAAGATTACCTAAAAAATGTAAGGATCCGGGTGTTTTTACGGTTCCTTGCAAATTAGGTAATCTTCATGTTCCACGAGCTATGCTAGACCTTGGAGCTTCTATCAATGTTTTGCCATATTCCATCTTTAAAACATTAAATATTGGCACATTGAAGAAGACCGGGGTAATCATTCAATTGGCTGATAGATCTTTAGTACATCCCAAAGGTGTGTTAGAAGATGTGTTAGTCCAAGTGAATGAACTAGTATTTCCAGCAGATTTTTATGTACTTGATATGGATGATGATGATTCACCGAATTTGAGTTCAATTCTCCTAGGAAGACCCTTTTTGAAAACAGCCAGGACGAAAATTGATGTTTATGATGGTACATTGTCCATGGAATTTGATGGGGAGGTGATAAATTTCAATATTTATGATGCTATGAGATATCCAAGTGATATTTCATCTTTGAATTTTGTGGATGTCATTGAACCATTGACAGAGGAGTGTTTTGATCTGTCTAATCTTGATGTGTTAGCTCTTATTTTAGACAGGAATCTTCAAAAGGAAAGAGTGGAAAAACTTGCCAATCAATTTACAATTGATAAAGAGATTATGGAGGTTGTGTCTTGTATGGATGAGAAGAAGAAAATGAGGTTTGATGTTCCAAAGCTGAAAATACCAATGTCTAATGAGAAACTTGTTCCCTCTATTGTGCAGGCACCGGAATTGGAGCTAAAAACTTTACCCGAGCATCTCAAGTATGCATATCTTGGAGATAAGGAAACTCTACCAGTGAACATTTCCACCAAGTTGTCAACAAAAGAAGAGGAAGAACTTGTCACCACCTTGAAGGAATATAAGGAAGCAATTGGTGGACTATAGCCGAACATCAAAGGGCTAAGTCCTTCCTTTGCATGCATAAAATCCTTATGGAAGAAGATTACAAGCCTTCCCGAGAAGCTCAAAGGCGTCTGAATCCTCCAATGATGGAGGTTGGAAAAAAGAGATTTTGAAGTTGTTGAATGCGGGAATGATTTACCCTATATCAGATAGTAAGTGGGTAAGTCGTCCAAGTCGTGCCGAAGAAGACAGGTATTACCGTTACAAAGAATGACCAAGGTGAGTTAGTCCCCACCCGTGTGCAAAACGGGTGGAGAGTTTGCATTGATTATAGACTGCTCAATTCCTCAACCCGGAAAGACCATTTCCCACTTCTCTTCATTGATCAAATGTTGGAAAGGTTAGCGGGAAAAACACATTATTGTTGCTTGGATGGATATTCCGGTTTCCATCAAAACCCGTTGCACCTGAGGACCAAGAAAAAACTACTTTCACATGTCCTTTCGGAACATTTGCATATAGACGAATGCCTTTTGGGCTTTGCAATGCTCCAGCCACTTTTCAAAGGTGCATGGTAAGTATTTTTTCGGAATTTGTTGAGGAAATCATTGAAGTTTTTATGGATGACTTCACAGTTTATGGTAATTCTTTTCATGAATGTTTGGGAAATTTGAAAAAGATTTTGCAAAGATGTATTGAAACCAATCTTGTTTTGAATTATGAAAAGTGTCATTTTATGGTTGACAAAGGTCTCAACTAGGTCATATTGTGTCT